AGCGATTTAAGAGCTGGCAAGACGAAACTCCTGAGCGATTCAAGAGCCTAGTAGAATCAAGAATAGACAGAAAAATTAAAGCAAAAGCAGTAAAATAATCAACAGATAAGTAAATAATATTACAGAAAAGTATTGGGGGGAAAATTCCCCAGGAATTAAAACCCTATGGATAAAAGAGTGAGTAACCCAATGGTAGCACAAGATACCCTGTATACAATATTATAAGCAACAACGGAAACTTCAATGAAAACAGATACATCTCATGATCATCACAAAAGAATACAAAAGATGGCAGAAGTAAAATAATCAAACATATATAGCTTATTAGTTACAATAAAGCTCATGGAGCAGCTGGGGTAGGTGGGTGGGTACACGAAAAGCACACACCAACACCCGCCGTAAATCAATAATGAGGGGCACTGACAATACCGCATACCCTCTAGGGGTTAATGCTGATTGGTTAACACTCCCCTAATTTGCATAAAAACATAAACATGAAAAACCTAGATACAAGAATATTACAACATGTAAACAAGGAAATTAACTTAAGTAAATTCACACATATATATCAAAACGTTCCACTGTAGAAAAAACAACCTAAGATATATATAAGCAAGGGAGCAATAAAAGTTGTATATAAACTATAATTTAACACACATGTCAAATTATCATTTTATACACAACAAAAACGATGAAACAACAGTTTACCTGTTTATTACAATTCGAGATATTTAAATGAGGCAGATAGCAAGATAAAAGAAAATACAAACTTATACTTTGGCGTATCAGGGGCTACTCACTCAAACACAATAAGCTAACTATATACAATACTACAAAAACAAACATGTACTGACGAGGTAGCCTCCTAAGCAATGAAAGTGGCCACAAGGAAAAACAAAAAATATATTCTCAGCAATATATTTTAAGTAGGCCAGACAACTAACTCTTGAGCGATTCAAGACAGGCCGAATGTGAATATCTAGTGAAAGTTCTTGAGCGATTCAAGACAGTATACATGTAGATATCTAGAGCAAACCCTTGAGCGATTCAAGAGCTGCATATAAGATAAAACGTTCTTGAGCGATTCAAGACAGTATACATGTAGATATCTAGAGCAAACCCTTGAGCGATTCAAGAGCTGCATATAAGATAGAAAATTCTTGACCGATTCAAGATAGTATACATGTAGATATCTAGAGCAAACACTTGAGCGATTTAAGAGCTGGCAAGACGAAACTCCTGAGCGATTCAAGAGCCTTGTAGAATCAAGAAGAGACAGAAAAATTAAAGCAAAAGCAGTAAAATATTCAACAGATAAGTAAATAATATTACAGAAAAGTATTGGGGGAAAATTCCCCAGGAATTAAAACCCAAATGGAACGAAACGAGGAATTGGAAATTGCTAGTGAGTGAGAGCAAAAAACAACAGGTAAACTTTAGTTTTAACAGTCACCCGTTTGATAAAGATTTTGTATCACAGAGAAAACCACTGACAAAGTTATTGTAATACCCGTTCGACGAAAATGTTTTGTAGTTTATTTAAAGAACGTAGTGTTCCTCAACTTTAGAGATAGATTTCTTTTCTTTTTATTATTTTTATTTGTTTACAAAATAGGAATTTAAACCAAATGAATATTTCATATCAACATGACTTTACTTAAATACCACATGTCAAAGGTCAAACATGTGATATTGCATTTGCGTACTCAAGGTCTCGCCAATGATACACATGATTCAATCGTTATGTTCTTCATAATACCACTGTATGTGAGGTTACGTGATAACCCTTTATCAGATATTACTACCTAACCTTCAATCTCATAACCACAAATTCAAAGCATCGAAAATTAAAATTTGAATACTAAACGTGAAAATTACACTGCATGAAGATAACGTTTTATAGAGTACATATATACCAATACCTAATCATTTCAGATGGTCCTTCAACTGTGCGTTTGACCCCGTCAACTACATCATACTCTCCTATAGAGGGACAGACTATCCCCACCATCACGTGTTCGTCTGACTGTAACCCAGTCTGTACCTACAGTTGGACAAAGGATGGACAGTCCCACACAGCAGGGTCAGGTCTCCAGCTCACCAACATACAACGTGGTCAGACGGGAGTGTACAGGTGTACGGTCAGTAACACATACGGGAGTCGGACATCTAGTGACGTCAGTGTTACTGTAAAGTGTATGTATTCATAACAGATAAATTACTGTCTTGTGATAACTCTGTGTGTATATGAAAAATGAAGAATGAAAGAAAAAATATGAAAGAACTTTTAATTGTTTAGAGAAATACAAAATATGATTTATCTAATTACTTCTTTATTAATTTACAATAAACCATATATATATTTATATAACTAGTCTCGTCATAAATCTTTGCAATGTGGTGTTACACTGACTTGACAAGTAAGTGTATCAAATGACTGCACATGACTTACACTAGAATTTCTTTCAGAGGAATATATTTGTATTACCGCAACCAGTGGATAGCCATATTACGACGCCGTTAACAAGAAAGCTACATATGTAACATATTCATTTTAAACTCAAAATAAGTCAATTTTGCAGGAAAATGTGGCATTGATATTGTACAAGAAAAATGCTCACAAATGTTAAAGCATTAGAGTGAAAAGCAAAGCAATTATCTTTATTAACTGATACATTTTATCGTTTGATTCCATTGAGTTTTTGTTTCAAACAAAATGGTTTGAAATCGTAACGGTTAATTGTTCAAGGTAAAGGAACTCCCCCCCCCCCCCCCCCCGGTAACTCACATTTAGGTGGAAAATTAATTTTTCACTGGATCCATGTATTTTTCTCCTTTGAACAAAAATAACGCTTCTCTTTGAAAAAATCCTTAACAATCATTTGAGGTTACATGAAATACATCGCACTGGTCACAAACGATTATAATTTAAAGCCAAATATAATTTTTCTTTTTTAAAATAAGTCTTCATTGTGTAGTAGAAATACACTTGTGATATATAAAAATATTGAGATAACACAGGACAAAATCAGGTGATGGCTAATTATAAGTTCATGACTGACAATGTTGCCGATACAACAATATAGTATTGACCTTCATACGTAACTGCGCAGTGTTTGTATTGAATATGCATTGTAATGTGCAATAACTATTTTTTCTGGGAATGCACCTGCTATGTATGATACTCCTGCGAACATGGATACTATTTTGACATTTAAAATACCACACAATACGAAACTTCTAGTCAGTTTGTAATGTGTATGTGTTAATCTTGTAGACGGTCCTGGAATGTCTACTTCCATTTCACCACCGGACACAACCTACACCAAGACTGAGGGGGACATGTTACCGGACATCACCTGTACAGCTGACTGTAGACCTGGATGTACCTTTGTCTGGACAAAACCTGACAACACCAACTTCAGTGTCTCAGCTGTGTTGTCACTGGGACAACTGGACAGGTCACAACATGGGACATACAGATGTACGGCTAGAAATATTGCCGGGGAGTCAACTACAAGTGTTATTGTTACAGTACAGTGTAAGTAAGCTTAAACTAAATGTTCAACCATCTTAATCAATGTCCGTTTAGAAAAGAGATGAAACATACTATTTCATTTCATTAATAATTACCATAACTTAAGTATGCATATACAATACCTACACCCATCTTTGTAGCCCAAAAACAAAAGATTCAAATATCCCTACCTCCCTACCGTGACGTAACCTATATCTCGATGACAGAGCCACGGAGTGATCTCCCATCCTCTTCCTTTTATGGCGCCTGCTGCCTGCTGACGCCCGGAGCTAGCTCAATTTCAAAACATTGTTTTGTCGGTTTGGTTCGAGTGTGAACTCAATTTTTTGCACAGTTTGTGTGCCTTATACCCATCTGCCCTTGTTGATATAATTAATTATTGTTGACAATTATTTTTGTGCCTTTTACGGCCGGTTATTTTACTCCACGTGTGCCGGTGGTGTGCCACGGTCCGCCATTATCGTGGGTTAATTTCCGACCTCTGTTTATTTCGGTGACGGTTGTTTGTTTCGGCAAACGTTATTTATTTTAACCGTTTTCTGATTTATATTACGGGTGAAATTCTTTCTACGTTGCGTACTTTGTATTATCGTATTCTATCATTTTTTCCCGTGTTATCTGCTTGTAATTTTTTGTTTACGTTCGCTTTGGAGGGTAAGTCTCGGTCGGGACAGCGACGAGGTAGAGCTCATGGGTGTTTCCATTTCTTTGTGGAACTGGACCCTCATGATGCTTGTCCCAGGTGTTGTCCTTGCAGTGAGGTTTTGCCTTGTGAACTTTGTTCACAGACTAAATCTCAGGACAAGGACTTCATTGTTCCAAAGCTCCCCTCAACTTACCGTAAGAGAGATTCGTCTGTTTCTTCCGGTAAGCGAGGGAAGCAGAGAGGTAGGGGTCGTGCCACCAGCTCTCTGGGGTCTGGTGGTACTGTCTCTGTTCCTGTCTCGGGGGGTCTTGCTTCGGCGAGTCCCTCTCGTGAGCAAGGGGTGGCCCTTCCTGTCCAGGAACTCCCTGGAGTAGGGGAGGGGCAGCCTGACCCTGGCTTGGCGCTTGCCTTCGGGTAGGGACTACCGGCCGCCGGTCACTGACTGTCAGTGATCCCGGCATTCCAGATGGTGCTGTCGTTTGGGGACAGTCTTGGTGCCGGGCCTGTTCTTTCGGGTTCAGGTCCTGGTGTGACAACAGACTTTCTTTCGGGATTGTCTGTGTCTACCGGGTTTAGTGACGCGCAGCTCATTAATCCCGGCATCAATGTTGGTCAGGCGTACCCTCCCGGTCAGTTACCCGGAACCGGTCCTATTAGGTCCGGTCCCGAGTTTCATTCTTCTGGGAATCTGGGGGGGTCCTTGGGCCGCCCTTACCAGCCTGCGGATGGTTTTGGGTTGCGGCAGCATCCCAGCAGTTACGGGCTTAGCCCGTACATGTCCGGGTTTCCACCTGGAGGGAGTGGCGGTCCACCTTCGCCCTTTGGGCAAGTTGGCCAGCCCCAGTCTCAGGCAGGCCAGTTTGGCCAGTTCTGGGGTCACTCCCAGCCCGCGGGACCTTTCCCCTATCCTCCGGGATATGGGTTTAACCCCATGGCATTTCCGTCATGGAATCCTTGGGGTTTGGTCTCTCCCTCGCGGAGACGTGTTAGCA